CCCAGAAAAAAAAAAAAAAAAAGTAATTGAGCTCAGCTGTGGCCGTGAAGGGTGAGCGCAGATGTCGGGGGCATGGCTCACTCCAGGGCGGTTTCCTTCATGTCCTTTCTTTACCACACAAGAAAAACTATGGCTTTTTTTAAAAAGTGCCTTTCCCTGGCCTTACCAAACTGCTTCTTTCCCTGGAGTGAAACCTATATTTCTTCCTACCCTTCGACTGGGCCCCGGGGAATGTTTGTGTAATTTTTCACTTTCCACTGACGAGCTTCCAAATCACTTCCAGGTGGGGAACAGGCCTTACTCACCTGGACATGGAAGAGGCCCTCGGACTCATTTATTCTCTCAATAAATATCACTGCACCAGGCCCTGGGGCATCACAGGCCTCCCCAACAGAACTGGACTTCCGGGCCGTGTGGATTCGTGCTGATGTGGTCCCTGCCTTGCTCTAGCACTGGGCCAAAGCCCGAACTTTCAAAATACATCTCTGAAGATCCACGTTGGCGGATGGAAGATCATTAGAAGAGGTGAAAAAGCCTGAATGCATCACAACTGACCTTCCCCTCCTGCTCAGGGAGGCTGTTGTTACAGGTCTGGAGTGGCAGGTGGGGTCCCTGGCGTGGCCTGAAGGCACATCCCGGGTTGGTGGGGACTCTCTGGTTTCAGGTGGAGACCGGTGCTGCCGTGGTGCTCGGGGTCCTTTCCCCAGAATAATTTAAACAAGAGATTAGGAAAAGAAATGAATGCATTTTAGTAAGAAAGCCCATCTATCAAAATCTAAAATTTGTAAGCTTTTAAGAGTCTTCACGGCACTTTCAAAACATTTTTTTTTCCCCTATATAAAGATGACCAGTAAGGGGATCTTAACCCTTGACTTGGTGTCAGCACCACGCTTTCCCAAATGAGCTAACAGGCCATCTCTATATAGGGATCTGAACCCGTGGCCTTGGTGTTATCAGCACCACACTCTCCCAAGTGAGCCACAAGCCAGCCCCTTTCAAAACATTTTTTAAAGAACCCAAGTTATAATACCACAGTTTAGAAAGCTTTGGTAGAAACCTGAGTTATGATCACCTGTACTTACTCCCATGAGGCTGACCCTGACTCCTGTCATCCAAATCTGTATAGGTAGCTCAGGAAGGGTGCGGGGTGGGGCGTGGAGAGTAGAGGGTGGTGCCTCTATCAACTCTGAGCAGAGGGCTCAGGAAGGAGGGGCAGAAACCCTGGACACCACCAGGTGTGGACCAGAGCGGGGCAAGCTATCCTGACTGCTTGAAGGTTGAATCAAAGCCTTTTAATTTCAAGAAGTAACTATTAAAATGTGAAAGTCAAAACCAATATGGAAAGTCCAGTCTCTGGCTGTCAGCAGTGGCCCAGGGAGCCAACGCCTGCCCCACATTGGCTGTGAAGGTTCACACCTGCCCTCCTAGAGACTGGGACAAGGGCTATCAAGCGTCCTGCCTTCCAGGCGGCTCCTCTCCTGTCGGTAAGGCCAGCTGTGCACTCTGCACATGGGCCAGCAGCAGAGAACTTCACTGTTTGAGCCAAAAATAAATAATGATGCTCTAAGAAGAAAACCAGGCAGTATGAAGTTGAACTTCGCCTGCTTCTGGAGAATAAAAAATACTTTATTAAACACTAATTATTAAAGAATGAGCACATTGGCGTTTCTGTACTTCTTGGTCATTGGTGTGCTCCTCTGAACCACTCTCATCCACTGACATCAACTGTGTGAACCTCGGTCTTACTGCACTCATTCCCAGCCAGCCTCTGACAACTGCACTGACTGAATTCATGAACTTTCTCATCATTCTTTATTATATTCCAACTGGACGTGGAAATGACTAGAACATTATTACAAATGCTATGAGTAGAAAGAGAGGTTTGTGAATCACAGCTAATGGGCAGCCAAAGTCCCACCTGGGCGGGGGGCTCTGCCTTGTGCTAGAGTTCCTTTCCGATCTACTTCTTGCCATTTCTTAACCAAAAAGCGTAATCTACAAAAAAAAAGAAGACAAAACACATTTAAAACTATAGCAAAATGGGAGTGAAAGGAGCAATGAAAATCCCAATGAGACCAACAACCAGCATCTGGGGCCTCACTGCCCATGGGGAGTGCAGACCCCACAGCCGGTGTGTCGGCCAGTGTAGACCTAGCAGGCTTGGCACACACGTGGAGAGCTTGCCATGCCCTCCCCGTGCCACAGCCAACACCCTAACAAAGCCCTCCCCATGGCGCTTTCAGCCCAGTGTGGACCACCACTGGCCCCTAGACTCCCAGCACAGCACAGCTCAGGGTTGTCAGACTCCAGTTCAACCCAGTCTGCAACACCAGTGATGGAGCCCCACACTGCTCCCATCTGGTCTTCAAGATGTTCAGCCTTCATCCCATCACTAATGCCCCTTGACAGGCTCAGGACACAGAGACCCTGGCCCTCACGGAGTCAATAGATGGAGAGTGCAAATGGTGTGGGGGGTGACCAGTGTCCAAGGAGGATGGGTGGGGGTCCCAGATGCCCTCAAAGCAAGCCTCACACCAGCAGCCCCCTCCTCCACGGAATGGTGGGACACCATAAGTTTCTTCTAGATGAGAGCCATCAAGGCCCCTCAGAGGCAGCCGCTGCTCTGAGATGCTGCTGCTCTCCTGATGGGAAGATGCTGGAGGCAGGGTATGGAGTTTACCTCCCCCATCTAGCACCTAAAATGCTTCCTGATCAGGACATCCTCCCCACAACACAGCACAGACAGGTGGGTGGACAGATAACAACGGACGGCCTATGGTTGGGAGAGCTCAGAGGTAAGGGCACCAGGTGCCCTAAGGCTTAAGATGGCCTACAACACACTCTAGCAGAGCCCCCGCTGCCCTCTTCTGCCTGGCACACTGGCCCGAACAACTGGATAGGCATGGTGCCTGGTCTCTGAGAGGAACTGGACTCCCTGCCCACTCCCTGTATCCATACTGCAGACGGGCCAGAGCATGGCCATGGGAAGACACCTCTGGGCATCAGGGAGCTGACACAGCTACACAATTCTCAATGGGCAAATGTTTTTAGAAATTCAGCAAATTTTAAAACTATAAAATGAAACGAATTTTCACCACTGTAATTTTTGGGATGATCAAAATTCCCAATAACACCAGGGAGCTGCATTCCTGCTCCAAAAATGACACCCTGTGAAATGCCGGCTGGAGAACCGACAGGGCCCTCCCAAGAGAGACACGAGTGTGGTGGGGGTGGAGCATGCAGAGAACGGGACACTCAGAGATGGGCCCGGGTCAGGCCCCAAGCACATCTCGGGTCAAAGCAAGGACAGAGAGGCCTCCCCTGCCCTACAGCTGGGGCTCCCCCGGGTCTCACAGCCATGCCCACAGGCACAAGACCAGCCCACCACCCTCAGTGAACAATGTTCCTCTATGCGCCTAGCTCCTCTCGTGTAACATAGTCCTGACTAAAATACAGAAAAACTGAATTTACAACATGGAATGCAGTTTTAAACCTCGTTAGATGTATCTGTTGGCATAATCAATCTTGGCATGAAGCCTGTTATGGGGCAAGGTGTTCCTCTGTAATAAGAAGGCATCCTGAAATCTTACAACAGAGGCAGTCACACCTACAGGTTGTAGGGTGCTTACCTTAGTGTGGCAATGACCACCCTGACAGCTGTGCGGAACCTGGTGAAAGGACGAGATGTGCTGATTTTCTTGTCTGCCTTGGAAGGAAATACCCCCAAATGGGCTATCATGGAGAGTGTTTCTTGTTCAGAATCCTGGAATCCACCAATTAACAGTAAAAGATACTTCTTTTGATAAATCAGAGCTTTTCTAAAGCTCTCTGCTCTTAAATAATGCAGGTACAATTTTTCCATCTAAAAGAAAAAAGAAAAACAGTAAAAAATCTCAGGAACCAAAGCATTTTCCTGACAAACCCATACAGCATGTTTGCACCAATGCTCTTCACAAAGAACCAGACTGTCTTTCCCTTAGCAAACTACCACAGAAGTCAGACTTGTACAACGTCCACAGCCAGAAGCAACTTGTTATCGAAAGATGGGTCTGTGCTTATCAGACAAGATCCAGAATCATCAGCTGAGCCCCAATGAAGGCTCCTTGAATTTAATCAACTCTCATCATGGGTTCTACGGACATCATGGGGGGTGGAAGAGCTGTGTGAAACCAGAAACCTACACAGAACTTGGTGTCCAATTTCTGATAAGCATTTTTTGCATGAGAGAGGGTCGATGGCATGCCACACTGTCAAAACCATCTCTAGCAAATCACTGGTCCAAGATTTCTTCAGGCTGCTGCTGCAGAGCACTATGTGCTCCACCCCTAACTTGTGAGCACAGAAGCTCTATGTCTGCACAACCAGAGCAAGTTTCAAATCAAAATTTTTCTTTTTAATTTCCTTTCCTCACTGTGACTTGACTGCTAAAAGCAGCGTGTCCTCCCGCTATAACAGGCAAGCATTTGGCACTCGTGTCGGCAGCTATGCCCAGCAAACAAGAACCTTGTGGTCATGAAAATGCTTTTGCCTGCAGTTAGCAAACCCAAAATTTAAAAGCGGCAGCGACACTCTGTAGCCTGTGCTGCTCATGGGCTCAGTCTTACTTTGACATTGCAGGTGTTTGCTTCCTCGTTCGCAGCTGGCGTGGGCAGGCTTGGGTCTGAGTGTTGTGATGAATTCTGCAAAACTGGCCGGTCTTGCTTCCGTGCAGACCTGTCCAAACTCTGCAACAAACCACAGCCAGCAGTGTCTATAGAGCTGCTCTCAAGTGACAGCATCTTGGGAAGAATGACTGCAAGCAGGGCAAGGCAGAACATGACCATTCCCCACCACACCCACACCCCCACCCCCCAGGGAGAAGGTCGTGCTCGCACACCTCGCATCTTCCATGGCTGCTCCAGAGACTTCTGCAGGTGAAGGCCCACCACAGGTGGGAGGGGTCCAGAGTGCACATTAGGCTGGGGACCCAGTGGGGGCAGCGCTAACTGCACGGATGCGCACCACACCCGTGTCCCTCTTCACCTGCAGTGTCTTTTCAGTGGTACCCAAGCTGTTACATAATGTTATCAGTGAGATAATTAAGACTATGGGGAATTATTACATGCCATGTACTGAGGTATGATTGTACAAAAGGTACATTTCAATAAAAACAAACACCAAATACTTGTAAAATAAGCTTTCAAACTCAAAGCTTTAAGCCTTAAGTGTTCTCACACAAATGCCAACCAGTGGCAAATGCAAAGACCTATTAAATCACACAGGTAAGAACATCAGTGAGGGCCTCACACAGGGCCACTCAGGCCAAGGGTGGGCAATGTCCCACCATGTGGGCAGGGCCGTACATACAGCAGTTTGAAATGGGAATCAAAGGAGACAGGTCATTCCAACCTACAATGCCAGAGGGAGCACCCAAGGAGGGGGGTGCCTGCGGAGCGGCCCTCACATAACCGCCCTGACAGGGCAGAAGGAAAAGACTATTCTGAAACACAGCTTGGGTTGTTTCCACAAAGAACACAAGTGACCTCGGATTTACAGGAGGAAGTACTCCACCAGCCCACCTTCAGTCTACTCATTAAAAACATTATTTCCTGGTTTCTTCGTTAACATTCATATAAAGGACAAAAAATGTTCTACCAGTGACTATGGTTTACAGTCCACATAGGCCCAACAGGATCACCTAAACAGAGAACCTCAAAACACTTCCTGAGTGAGCTCCAGGGAAGCAGGCGGGCTCGGAACTGAGGCCCACAGTGACTCTCTAAGGAGCCCTTGTAAAAATTCACACCCAAAACCATTCATTAGTCATGGGGTCTGCTTGGTGGCTGAACCCCGTGTCACGAGTACAGTGTTCCCTTTACCTTTACCTGATATCAGAGCTTCAAAATAGACAAAGTAAAACTGGACAGGACTGAGGGAAAAAACAGACAAAGCCACAATTTCATTAGTAACTGACACAACAGGCAGAGACTCAGTAAGGTCACAAGAGACCTGAACTCCACCACCAACCATCTGGACCTGGCTGATGGTATGAACACCCCACTCCATGTGTTCCACGTGTCCACAGAACAGTCACCAGGAAAGATCAAATGCGGGGCCAGAGAACAAGCCTTGTTAAACTTAAAGAAACTAAAATTATCCAAAGTATGTTCTCTGACAAAAGCAGACTTAAACCAGAAAGCAAAAGCAAGTAGATATCCGGAAAATACTCAGATGTTTGGAAATTAAACAATATTCTAGTAAATAATCCATGGGTTAAAAAGGAAGTCCAAGAGAAATAAAATATTTTGAAGTAAATTAAAATAACAACATATCAGAATATGTGGGATGCGTCTTGAGCAGTGCCTAAAGGGAAATATTTAGCATTAAATGCTTAGTGACAAAGGAAAAGCCTCAACTTAATCATTTAAGCTTCTGTCTTAAGAAACTACAAAAGACTATACTAAACCCAAAGCAAGCAGAGTGAAGGAAATAATAAAAATAAGAGTACTGTCAATAAAATTGAAAACAGAAAATCTATAGAGAATTTCAATGAAACTGAAAGCTAGTTCTTAGGGGGAAAAAATCAAAATTTATAAAACTCTAGCCAGATTGACCAAAAAAAAAGGCCACAAATCACCAACATTAGTTACTGTGATATAATAAGAAATATATATATTGGTCTCTCCCCCAGTTCCTGATACAGAACTCCTAAGACCTTCCTAATTTCTAGGTGATAAGTGCATTTGACACAGAATTCCTAAATCCCTTAGAATTTCCTGGGTGACAGGAGCCTCTTCTGTTCTAATGAGGTGACTCCTGGTGGACTCCTGGATATCCTCAGGGTGGGGGCTGGTGGCCAGGGGGACCAACCCTGTGATTAGAGGGTTGGAATTTTCACCCCCCACCTCTGGGGAAGGGAGAGAGGATGAAGGTTGAGTTGATCTCCAATGGCCAATGATGTAATCAACCATGCCTACATAATGAAGCCTCTGCAAAAATCCAAAAGGACAGGGTTTGGGGAATTTCTGAGTTGCTGAATATGTGGAGGTGCCCGGAGCACACCCCTTCCCCATACCTTGCCCTACTCGTGTCTTTGTCTGGCTGTTATTCTGTGTCCTTTGTATTATGCTTTACAATAAATAGATAAACAGGTGTTTCTGAGTTCCATGAGCTATCTTAGCAAATTAATCAAACCTGAGAAGGGAACTGTGGAAACCATGAAGGACAGCCAGTTGGTCAGAAGCACTGGTCACAACCTGGGATCTAAGGTTGGCAGCTGAAGTGTGGGCACTCATGTGGGACTGAGCCCTTACCTTGTGGGATCTCATACTTTCTCTACGTAGATAGTGTCAGAACTGAGTTAACTTGTAGGACACCCAGTTGGTGTCCACTGCAGAACTGCTTGTTGGTGGGAAGAAATCTCCATGCATTTTGGTGACCAAAAGTGCAGTACAGTGTGGTGTGTGAGAGAGCAGGAAAAACATTTGGTTGTTTTTCCCCTCATCTATTACCAGAACAAAAGATGGGGCATCACTACTGACCCAACAGACATAAAAGTACATTTAGGAAACACTCTGTTCAGCCCTCTGCACATAAATTCCACAACTAAGATAAAATGAATTAATTCCTTAAAGGACACAAAGTACTAAAACTTACCCAAGAAGAAAAAAGGAACCTGAATTGTCCTGTATCTAATAAAAAACATCAAATCTGTCATTAAAAACTTTCCAAAAAAGAGAACACCTGGCCCAGATGCTTTTGCTGGTGAATTTTTACATGAAAGAAATAACATCACCTCTACATAATCTCTTCTAGAAAACAAAATAAAAGGGAACATGTCCCAACTCATTTTTTGAGGCCAAAACCAGATAAAGACAATACAAGAAAAGAAAACTTTAGATCAACATCCCTCATGAACTCTGTTACAAAGTACTCAGCAAACTATTAATAGATCAAATACGGCAGTGTATAAAAACGATAATATAGGGGCCAGCCCGGTGGCGCACTGCTACAGTGCGCTGCTTGGGGGCGCGGCGGCGCTCCCGCCGAGGGTTCGGATCCCACATACAGACTGGTTCCCGCTCACTGGCTGAGCGAGGTGCGGGTGCGACACCGAGGGTTGCGATCCCGTTGCTGGTCCCGGTCCGGTACGGGCGCGACACTGAGGGTTGCGATCCGTTGCCGGACATGAAAAAAAAAAAAACAAAAAAAAAACCCGATAATATATCATGACTGACAGGGTTTTTTCCTGGGACTTGTAGAGTCAAGCCTCAACCTATCCCTCAGGCCATAAACAGAAATTCAATTAAAATGGGTCACAGACTTAAATGCAAAAAGTAAAACTATAAAACTCTTGGCATGATCTGCAAAAGAAAAGAGGATCGATGTCACCGAGATGCTGGAACAGAGGATCCTGGCGTCACTTCCCCCACAACTGATCAGCTTACGACTATTTAAACATAAAAACTGCCATCCTATAATCACTGGAACTTGGGATCGATGTCACCGAGATGCTGGAACAGAGGATCCTGGCGTCACTTCCCCCACAACTGATCAACTTACGACTATTTAAACATAAAAACTGCCATCCTATAATCACTGGAACTTGGGGAAGTGGAATAGAGACCCACTGAGTCCATGAAGGTGCAGAAAGCTGTGGCAAGGAGGAGGAATTATTCCACCCAGACCCAGCTCCAGCCACTCACAGAGCAGCTGCCTAAAGACAGCAAAGCCACAGCAGCACCCTTTGCATGAAGCTGCTTGGAATCTGCAGGAGAGAAGGGTGCCATAAACACTGGCCAAAGAAAATCACTTCAGCATGTACCATCCCATCCCATTTCCTACACCAGGAAAGCTGCTGGTGAGCTTCCCCAGTGCCTGCATAGGACGGGAGAACAGAATCACCAGGATATCAGGGAATCTTTGTGGGGGACTTGTGCAGGGCCTGCCCCACAGGAAATGTCTGCAGTGCTGGGGGGTGGAGGTGGGGGACTGATCCACCAGGGGAGCATGGGGGAGCAGAATGGGCAACTGATCTGCCTTCCAATTGGCACAGGTGCCACATGGTGGAGACTGGTCAGTGTGATGGAACTGTAAGGGGCATGGTTTGCAGGAAAGACTCAGTCCCAGAATTTCCACAGCCCAGTGGCATTTTGTAGTAACCCCAAATGACCTGGAATAACCTAAATGTCCTAAACAGCCAACATTTAAAATCAGAAACAACAGCAAGACAGCAATTTAGCTCAGGCAGAGTTCAAGTTCCAGTCCCAAGTTCAAATTCAGGAAATTTCCCCCAATCCAGGAATTAACCACAGAATAGGAAATTGGTTCCAGGGCAGTTTTTAAGTAGTGGTGGTTGCTATTAATCTACCACAGCATGGGGAAAAAACCACAGACCAATGATAAAGTTCTGATTTTGAACATTAAAGGTCTAATACCACCAACAAGCACTTATAAAACATGGAAGAGGTGGCTGTCTCCTCAAACACACAGGCATCAATGCAAAAACACAAAGATCAAGAAAGAACAGAGAAACATAACACCACCAAAGGAAACCACAGTGTCAGAAATGAACCCAGAAGCAAAGCAGATTCATGAAATGTCTGACACAGAATTAAGAATAATCCTCTTAAAGATGTTCAGGGAGTCACAAGAAAAATACAGATAGGAAATTATAAAATATTTGGAAAATAATCAAGGACAGAACAAGAAACTTGACAAAGAAATAGAATCTATTTTAAAAAAGCAAATAGAAATTCTAAAAATAAAGAATATGTTGTCTGAACTGAAAAACTCAATAGAAAGCTCTAACAGCAGACTTGATCAAACAGAGGAAAGAATCAGTGAGCTCAAAGAAAGAACACAGAAATTATTCAGAGGAACATAAAGAAAAAAATGAAACAGAACTGCAGCAATTATGAGACTCCTTCAAGCAATCTCTACATAATCTTTACATAATTGGTATACCCAAAGGAGAAGATAAAGAAATTTAGAAAGCATATTTAAGGAAGTAATGGCTGAAATTTTCCCAAATATGGAGAAAGATGACAGCCTCTAGGTACAGGAAGTTCAGAGGTCACCAATCAAATTCGATTCAAAGAGGAATGCCTCAAGGCACATCATAATCAAATTATCAAAAACCAAAGACAAAGAGAGAATACTGAAAGCAGCAAGAGGAAAGAAACACATAACATTCAATGGATCCCCAATAAGGCTCTCAATAGATTTCTCAGTAGACACCCTAGGGCCATGAGAGTATGGGAGAATATATTCAGAGTACTGAAGGAAAAAGACTGTCAACAAGTCACATGACATTCAGGGAAGGAGCCCAGGTCAGTGCCTGGCAGCCAGAGTGGGCAGGAGATGATGGCAGTTCTTTTGGGGGGTTGGCATCATTCTGTATTGTCAATGGTGGTTGTTATGCAGGTTACAAGAATCTATGCATGTGTAAAACTTGTGTGACATTACAACAAAAAAGAGCAAATTTTACTGTATATAAGTTAAAAAGTAATTTTTAAAAAGTTCTCATTGTAAAAAACTAAAGCAAATTAAAAACAGAAAAATAAATATGAAAGAAGAAAATTAGGCATTCCAGGGGCCAGCCCATGGCTCACCTGGGAGAGTGCGGTGCTGATAACACCAAGGCCATGGGTTCGGATCCCATATAGGGATGGCCGGTTTGCTCATGGGTGAGCATGGTGCTGACAACACCAAGTCAAGGGTTAAGATCCCCTTACCGGTCATCTTTAAAAAAAAAAAAAAGAAAGAAAATCAGGCATTCCAGACAAAAATCTATCAAACTACATTAGGAAAATTGTAAAACATTTTAATTAAGAGCCAAATAAAACTCTAATTTGGTCAGATTATTATGTTTTTAATCAAAATTTCCTTTTATGAACATGTAGCAAACATCATGTAGTGGTCAGGATCATGGTGACACAGTGTGCACACATGTGTGCATGTCTGTGAATAAAGTGGAAAATACACTAAGATGTCAAATAAAACATTTTGGAACACTGAGCAAGACTTCAAACAAGAGAGCATAGAGCCCACAGTGGTTAAGTAGGAAAAACTGATGCGCATGTGCCACATCGGTTGAGAAAAGCTAGTCTAGATCATCGTGGCTTCAGGCTGGTGGGCAGGTGCCTGAATCACACATATTAAAAAGAAAGTGCAGACACTTACGCTCAGGGTGCAGCCCTTCTGCAGATGATGCTTCAGGGTCTTCTCGAGCTTGGACAATGCCCTGCACAGCTCTGCTTTCTCTCGGGTCACTGTGCTGACAGCTTTTGTAAGAGAATCATTGTCTTTCAGCAAGACATCCACAAGCTGGATTTGTAGTTCTGCTGCCATTTTTTTCTTGAAAAGGAGAAGACAAAAACTAATTTACAATAATTTTTTTGTTGAAAGGCATGCACATTATTCATGCTTTTCATTGTTGCTGATTATTTTCAAGGATTATAATTTTAAATGTGCTTGGGGTTCACTGGGAAGCTATGGGCTGAGCAAAGCCTGGGACCGGAAATGATAAAAGTCATCAAATCAATTCTCTACAAAACAGACTGCACAAAACTGAACTGCATGAATAATGTAGGCCTGTCACAAAATGAAACCCTTTTGTGGTGGTTCTAATAGTACCATACACAGACTGCACCTGAAGAGGTGCCCAGGAAGTATCGTTTCCTCACCCTGAGGGTCAAATGTGTAAGTCCCTTAAGGCAGATTCATTTCCACAATCAGTCTACAGAGGGTGTGGGACACTAAAATGGTCACCAGCACCCAACACAAGGGGGACAGGATGTGCCACACCAACTGATGATGCTCAGCGAGTGAGGTTGGGGGTAAGCAGGATCAAAGGCTGATCAGTACAACTCTCCTGCTGCTGAACATTCATGTTGCTTCCACATAAATGCTATGATTTCACAAACGTCAGAATATTTATCAGGAATTTATATCAGCAGCCAAGATTTCTAACACCCCTCAGAGGCAGCTAATAGGGAGCTCAGAATTTCCACAGAGAACTTGGGTTTTCATTTCCAGCTAAGGCTCTCAACACAAACACGCAAGCAGGCTGGGCTGAGGCAAACACTCAGCAGTTTCTCAGGAAGCTTGCAGAACTTCAGGCACATCTGCCCTCACAGCAGAGCAGAACCCACAGACTCTCCAGACCAGCAGCATCCCCTGCATACATCCAGGATGTGCAGTGAGTGACACGTGAGAGGGGGGAGTCTAGAAAGTCACACAACACTTGTGCACAGCACACCCAAACCCCTAAAAACAACACAACATGCGCCAAGACATGGAGGCCATCTATCACCGCATAGCACCTTCGTGGTCAGCCAGACAGCAAAGTTGAAGTCGAAGATAGTGAGGGAGGGAGGAACAACTGTCCAACAATAAAGGAAGAAACCACAAGGCTGCCAAGACATCCTCTGCAGGAGAGGCGGCATGTGTCACGTATTCAGCCTCAGCTCCCTCTGTCAGGGCAGGAGGAGCACAGGGTGGGGCATGGAGGAGCTCCATAGCTAACCTGGGAGGAGGTGGACGTGCTCAGTTCAGACTTCAGTTCCTCTAACGTACGCAATAAAGATGTCACTGCTTTCTCATTGGATGATGTCCAATCACTAATTGTCCTATAAAGACAAACAGGCATTTAAAAGGTTCATATGTATCCCAAATGACCATCATCCAAACCTATTCAAGAACTCCCTGCTGAACAGAGACAGGGAAAATGGGTTTATGCAGCATCTCCTCAGAGAGAGACTAAGAGTGACACCACCACGGGGTCCCTGTGTGGGTTTATCTGTGCATGTTTGTGAATCACTTCATTGAGCTACGAGGCGGAGCAGCCTCAAAGTGGGAAGCAGCGCCTGCAGGTGGACACTTCCGTGAACCTCAAAAACCTCCAGCCACTAGACAGTGAGCACAAGGAGGCACAACGACACACACGTCACCACACACTGCGGCTTTCTGCTGGAATTCCATGTCAATCATTAAAAATCCTGTCCTGAATGAAACTATGCTTAGAAATCATGCTGCTCTATAAATTAAATCCAAGAGCACACAAGAGAACTATATTAGCTGAATTTCTGTATGTAGGGAAAATGGCAAATATTAATTTTTCTGTTCATATAAAACATCATGGTCTTGACTTCTTAATGGTATAACCCTACATCCCAGGTATGTGGTGACAGCCTCAGAGGCTCAGTGTGACACAGACACCAGGCAGCACCCTAACGTTGATGGGCAGGGCAGGGTGGGACGACTGGTTGGGGGAGGTGTCCAGGCCCCAAACCCTCTGGGTGGCGAAGCACTGTGAAGGAGTGTGGAGAACCAAACTAAAAGAAACTTGGAAACCCCAGGTCAGATGTATTTGATTCACAAGATTTTTTTCCTCTAATATTAGAATGTAAAAAATATGATTTTGTTTGTATTTTTCAGGAGAGTCTTGCATGGGGAAAGAAATAGGGTGTGAGTTCATTAACAATGGCCCTTCAGCATTTTTCTTAACATAAGGGCATTTGACTGCACAGTGCTAGTTAGTTCCAGGCAACGTGCACCCTCACCTGTCCACAGTCTGGTTAATAAAGCAGGTTAGGAGCCTGGCAGCACACAGCAGCTGCTGCCTTATCCTCTCCAGTTCCTGCTGCTGTTCCCGGAGACAGTCCAAGCCCAAGCTGCAGGCCCTGTGGGGAGAGCCCAGGTGGGGGCCATTGCCGCAAAGCGCCTGCTCTTTTGACTCCAGCTCTCTCACCGTCTGCTGAAGCTGCTTGATCTTGTGCTCATCACGCTGACGTTGTAATTGTAATTCCCGCTGTTCACAATGGCAAAAACAGAAAAGACCTTCCTGTGAGTGTTCCAAAAGCAAAGCCATCCAGCAAAAGAAAATGCAGCAGTGCACAGGGCAGGCAGGCCCCTCATGGACCAGAGCCAGAACCCTCAGGCAGGCAGCCTCTGCTCTGCACATAGGACTTCCACCGGGATCCCTTGAACTAGTTCACCCAACATCCTCCACACTGTGGTGTTCCAGGTGCAACACAGACTCAGAGGAGCCTCCAACTCAGAGAAGGCTGAACCGCACTCCAGAATTTCAGTGGTGAACATCTCTGTATTTTGAGACCTGTTAGGCTTTCACCAGGTCCAAGGTAGGCAGGCACACAGGGGCAGAAGGAGAGGGACCTGCAGTGCTGAAGCAAACGGTCCCCAGCTCCACTCACACGGGCACATGCCCACACACAAACACACGCACAGTCAGGCACACACACATGTGCTGGTGAACACACATGCATGTGCACATGTGTATGAACTGCAGGGAAGCCCTGCAGAACCTGAGTGCAGGCTGGGGTCTGAGCTTGGGTTACTGGACAGCCCCTTGGTGTCTATGCTGACCTTACTGAGCACCAACTCTCTGAGCTGTGGAGAAGTGGTCCACAGTGCTGAACCCCCCGCCCAGGCCCAACTCTCCATAGGGCAGGAGACAGAGTCAGTCACTGGACAGGGGTGAGGAGGGATGAGGCAGCTTCAGAAAGGGCACCTGTGGATTCCCAGTGGCACTCCTCATGGAAAACAAAGGTGGAACAGGTAGACGAGGCTCCCCATGTCGGGGAGAGAACACCAAGAACTGAGCCTGAGGCTCACGAGGGAAGCTTCAGAGAAATCACCCAGCTCCATGGCCCCCACACAGCCAGATCCACGCCATGGTACACACACCTACTCACAGGTGACCAGGAGTGCGGTTCACAGCTTCCTAACATCTCACTTATGCATGAGCCTCATAGGCGAACAGAGATTATTATTTCACCTATTTTTCAGATGAAGAAAGTAAGACACGGAGGAACTGACGAGTTTACATTGTTCAAAAAAGATGAAGTTGGCCCTGAAATGGCTATCTTGGGAGGCTCTAGTAGATACGGCTAGGGAAGGATTCTGTAATCCAGATCAAATTAGCCATCTACAGTAGAAATAACTCCAAAAGGGTTACATCACTTAAAAACACATATCAAGGTGCATCGTGAAGAACAGTTATTAATTTAACTTAGAAAACTTTTTCTTTGTATTTATTTTTTAAGCAATCATGTTACCACCAATTTTTATAATTAAAAAAAAGAAAATTAAATGAAAACAAGAGACAGAAAACAGACTAGTGGTTGCCAGGGCTAAGGGGGGAGATGGTGAGTGATTATTTAATGACTATGGGATTCCTTTTTGGGGTGATGAAAATATTCTAAAATTGGTTGTAGAAATAGTTGCATAATTCTTTAAGTATACTTAAAAACACTAAACTGGGCAATTTAAATAAGTGAATTCAATGGTATGTAAATTATATCTCATAAAGCTGTTAAAAAATATTAATCACACCTCTGATATGAACTTACAAAACTAATATTACAACCTTTTGAAATCTTGTAACATTTAGAAACCTAGAGTTTAGGTCTTAGAAATAGATGTTCATTTCTTAACTATTTCGTGGCAGACTAAT